TTTAGTCGTTTAAGAAATAATTACATCACTAATGTAAACAATATAAACATACCAAAACCTAAGTATGATTTAAATACATTTGGATGGTACAAAAGAAAAAAAAAACCTGCGGGTGTCTGTACAGTGTTTATACAAGGTGGGACGTCGCCGCTGTATTTACAGGGTGGGAGGGCAAGGACCGTTCTGTGTGCAGAGGAGCAATGTCAATAAAAAACCACTGGCTAGCGGTGTGAGGCACTCCTGAACATGGTGGTATTGACCATGCTTTCCTTTGGTACCAGGCCCATGGCCTGCAGGGCCGCCGTGGCCGCCGTCGCCTTCGCGTGCTTCTTGTTAAGGCTGGCAAAGGTGGGCCTGTACTCATTGCCGTTCACTCGCACCTGCGGGGGAGGGGCTGCGTTAGGGGCCAGGAGTTCCAGCAGTGACAGCTTCATGGCTGGACTGGATGACCTTAGGGGTCTCCTCCAGCCTTGGTGATTCTAACAGGCCTGGAGTTGGGGCCAAAGTGCACTGTGGTGCAGCAAAATAGAACCACAGAATCACAGCACCATCAGAGTTGGAGGAGATCTCTAAGATCGAGTCCAACCATTAACCTGCCACTGCTGTAAACCCTAAACTATACCCTCCAGCACCAGATCCAGATGCCTCAAATACCTCCAGGGCTGGTGACTCCACCACCTCCCTGGGCAATATTCCAGTGCCTGAACATGGAAAATTACTCCACCACCTCCCTGAGCAATATCCCAGTGCCTGAACACCCCCACAGAGGAAACATTCTCTTCACATCTGACTCTGCCCTGGCTCAGCTCAAGGCTGAGTTTTGGCTGTACAATTCCCCTTCAGAGCCCACAAAATCCACAGCTCTGTCTCAGCAGTCATGGGTTGCACTGGAAGGACCTTAAGGATCATCTCTGTTGTGCCCTAACACCTCCACCAGCCCAGGCTGCTCCAACCCCATCCAGCCCTTGAGCACCTCCAGGGATGGTAAGGAACAGGGTCTGGAATTAGGAACAGAAGGTTAGGAACAGAAGGTTCTCTTGAAGCCAACATTCTTTAGCAAAAGGGAGCGAGAAAGAGGAACATGCAAATTACATTTCAGGACAATTTAATATCCACCTCATCATCACATACTGTTAGCCAAAATTCTTGGGGTCAGATCCCCACACCAGTGTATGGTGCCATTTGTGTCTCATCCTTGGGCGTGTCCCTCCATTCCTTGTCCCAAGTCCCTCTCAGCTCTCCTGGAGCCCCATGGGGCACTGAAATGGGCTGTCCCTCTAACTCCTTTCTGGGTGAGCACCCCCAGCTCTCCCAGCCTGCCCCACACACTGATGTGCCTGACAGACCCAGTTTGGCCTCGCAGACCAAGGAAGTTTGGCCTCGCAGACCAAGGACACCCCAAGCACAGACACTTCCTCCAAGTGTCTCCCGTGGGTCTGCCCAGCAGGCCCAGGAGCTGCACCCCACTCCAGTGGCATCAAGCCCCACCTTGAAGATGAAATGCTTGCGGTGATCGGGCCCACTGTCGTCCACCAACACGAACTCGGGTGGTGTCCACCTCCTCTTGTTGCAGATCTCCATTAGCGCAGACACCGGGTGCTTCCCTGGAACACAGGAGGGCCCAGGGCTCAGCACCCCTCTGCCACGAGGGACCCACCACTCCGGAGCACACACTCACCTGAAAGGTCCTTCATCACCACGTAGTGCCCGGATCTCTTCTGGGCCTTCTCTCCCACAGCAACAAGCCCTGCAATGACACAAGGGAGATCACACCCCTGACTCCCAGAGGATTCCTGGGGGGTCAGCAGCAGAGCAGGAACAGGGATCAGTGGGGACACCTGGAGACACAAGCCTCAGCCCTCCCTTTGCTCCAGCACTCTGCACCGTTCCACACACCATGTCATGTCCTTCCCAGCTGCTCTGGGGGGCTCTGAGCTAGGCAGGTGGGAGGAAACTTTGAGTAGCCTAATGTAAGCCAGGAAACACCTGGTTTTCCATGGAAACCTGGTCTTCCACAGCCTCTTGGAGCAACACTGAAGGAGAGAGGACGTGGAGAACACTCTGCACTCAGTTTTCTCCACCCACGAGTCCCTCACTGCCCTCAGTGTCCTGGGCACTGAAGATTCCCAGGCTCACTCATGTCCCTGTGTTCCTCTATCCCAGGAGTTACTCCATGCTGTGGGATCACACCTGCTCCCTGTTCCCAGTGTTCCAACACCCTCAGGGTACAGGTTCATGGCCCAATGACTGTCACTTCCATCCCATGTGGAAACAAAGCAGCAGAAACACCTGGAATAGCCCCAAATCCATGCAGGGAGCACAGATTCCCATGGGAATCACTGGGAACACCAAAGCTCAACATTAACCTTTGAAAATCTTACAAGACTAAGAAATGAAATGAGGAATTGCCAAAAATGTCATAAGTGCCAGTGAGGAAATTCCCTGAGGGAAACTCCAGCCTCTCTCCATGGATTTTGCCATTCCCAGACTTCAGCCTTTCAATATTCCCTTGTTTCTTACCTCAATGTTCCTGGTCTGGCTTTGGGGAATGACATAGGGAGATACTGCAACTGCTTCC